AAAAAAAAAAAAAAAAAAAAAAAAAGTGAATGGAGATATTTAAAAAACTCTTCAATTGAGTTTGCTCTAGAATAATAATAATAGTAATAAAAAAATCCCAGTTATCCTTAATTAGCTATAAAACTAGATAAGACTACTTTTGGGGGGTTAGCAAAGTGGTGGATGTAAACTATTTTGTCACTGAATGTGTCCCCAGTGCATCCAAGGTCCGACTGTATGAGCTGTTAAAGGATTCACGCGAGGTGCTGGGTGCCCTCAACTCCCCAGATACCCAATGCTATGAGAAGTTCAAGGCCCGTGCACTGATGTTGGTGACAGCACAAGACACTGAGTGGCACCTGAAGCCTTGCAGTGGACAAGGAGACTTTAGGGGTATTCAGTGTCCTGCAGGTTCAGGCCCTTAACGTACAAAGAAATGTAAACTCAAATATCAAGCCAGCTACTCAATATTACACATTAATTAAACATCTAAAGTGATGCAGTAATAAATACACAACATAATGCTCATGGGCAGTTTGCAAGCCCCATATGTTGGTGAGTAATCATCCCACAAGGTCTACTTGTGTTACCAGTATAAGAAGGGATCCAAACTGGCCTTAAGCCAGGAAGATTGCCGTTCCATGTAGTCTTCCAATACAATGCAAAGAAACAGAAATAATGGAAAGCGTGGTGTGTGTACCATCTGCCTGCAAATGCTTAAGGACACTTCTCTGTCCTGCTCTGAGAGGATTTAGAAGCAGATTTTCAAAAGTGTCTAATGGCATCTGAGCTCCTCAATTCCTTTTACTTCCAGTGCTTGAAAATCTGCTTCTCACAGGCACTTACAGGAAGAGGAAAGGATTTGTTGCACTACTGAAACCAGGAACAAACCTCTGCGGAAAAGAAGCTATTTTAGGGATGGTTAAACTTGGATACAAATGGAAACTAGAGCCATTAGCAGGTTCTGTCCTTTTCTTTTTTTTTGGCCTACAGCAGCATTCACAAGTCTGTAAGATATTTTGTACTTATTGTACTTATTGTCACTTTTATATATGTGAGGAAAGAAAAAACATTCCTATAGCAGCAAAATAAAGTCTTTGGTAAGAGCCTAGTTTACAGGTAGAAACTAATGAAAGGCTGCTTGGAAGAATGCCTGTTTCTCACTCATGGGGAGTGGAGAAGCAGCATTGCTGAAAACAGGTGTTTGGTTGGGTTTTTCAGGGCTGATTTTGAGACTCCTTCCTCCATCTATAAACACAGAAATCAAACAGCCGCTGTGCTCGGAGTTTCCATCCGAACTGGCTGCAGGTGCAATTTGTGCAGGAGCAGAGCTGCACTTTTTTCCCCTCCTTTTACAAGAGGAAATGAAGAGCCTGTGTTGCCTTTGCACCAGGATGGGGGCTACAGCTATTGTGAACATGGAATATGTCTGAACTGCTTGCAGCATAGTGCAGGCTGTCCATAACCTAGCAGGCAAACTATGGCAGCCCTTGCTAGACTCCGTGCTAAATTACCCTGGTGAGAAGCCAGGCAAACTGACCTCTGCTGAATTATGGGCTGCTGTGGTCAAGTCACATCTGGAACCCATGCCTGCTAGTTGAAACTTAGCTTGGCTATCTGTGTGCAGATACCCTCCTGGATTCAACATGGTCTGGGCCTCAAACACAACCTACTACAATGAGCCAAAGGCAGCAGAAGGTATTTATACTATTTTTCCCAGGTGCACAGTTACTCTCTACAAGGCTGTATTTACTGTAGTAATACAGATCTGCTAATGTTATTCTACCCTACATCCTTTACAGGTCAGACACAATAAAGTCATGCCATTGCTTTCAAACTGGAGGGACGTAGCCAGTCCTGCAAGCTACAAAGCAGCCCAAATTCCACTGTCAGCTGCTCATGGGGAGTTCACGTTGCCTTCAGGATCCCCGCTGAACGTACATCTGAGGTTGGTGCATGAGCCTGATGCAACTGATTGTAGAATCACTTTACTGTCCACACGGCTGTATGGGGAGTTGCCTTCTCTGCTTTTTTGTCTTAATGTGGGGATTCGGGAAGAATCTACGGCTCTCTAGGGTGCAAAGATATCTCTGATAGGCGACTTAGTGACATTCACTCCTTTGGTAAAACATCACTGAGCTTTATTTCCACTCTATGCTATCTGCTACTCTTGTTGAGATCAACAGAAATAAAGTCTTCCCTTAATGAAGAAGTGATTCTGTCTTAAGGAGAACTGTAAGCGAGCAGTTGCAGGTGAACATCCGTAGGCCTCTTGGAACACTAGCTCCATCGGTCTCAAGTACAGTAGTATACATACTGGATGCAAAACCTGTTGGTAGTACATAGTGTTACACAGTCAGTCACAAGTGTGCTATATTTGTACTTGTTGTACAGAAGGGTGGAATCTGTCTTGCTCTGATGTTTGGTCCCCTTGCAACTGATTATCATTATAGCAGTGGGAAGCATCTAAAATTGAAACAGCTTTTTAATATTCATGGAATTGCCTCTCTCCAAACAAGAGGCTTGTAGTGCTTCTGTTCTTCTTTCACAGGTCTAGGGGAGGATTCAACCTCCATCTCTCTCTAGGTACTCTCAAAGCTGTCAGCAGTGGAGGAAAGAACACCATCTCTTCCCTTTCAAGGAGACATTGCTTGCAATCCTGCCTTTCGACTGAGGGAACATAGCTCGTTATTCACATACTTGTCATAGTACACCATAATATAAGCAATTATAAGGAGGAAACACCTTGCAAGGTGGCATGTTCCACATCCTGGGATGAAACAAAGCTGAGGAGTCCCCACATGCCAGAGAACAACTGGAAGGGGACTTGACCCTGAGCCAGTACTAATCGGGAAGATCATTAGCAGCCACGTGAGAGAAAGGTGCATTTAACCTATCCAGTTCGTCCACCTGGGGTGGGTGATGCAATAACATTTCCTGGTCTTCAGAAGCATCGTCACCCACAGCAACCAGGTTCGTTAGAGATTTGCTTCTCACGCACTGGAAGTCGACGTGGCGGCTCTTTCCTTCTTCCTTCTCCCAAGACATCTGGATGAATGGGCGCTGCACATAGTTGTAGATAACTTCTGAGCGGCCTCCTGGCCTCCTCTTCACCTTCTCTTTACATGTGGGATAACCTGAAACATAATCAGCTTGTCAAAATCCACCTCTCTGAGCAGTGCTGCCACCCTACGGACCGCAGTGAGTCCCTGCAAGACTACTGGCAGGGTGAGATCCCACCTCCAGCGCTCTGTAGACAGAGGCTCATATTCCATATTTAGTCACGGTGGGACATGAGCCAGGCTCACCGTACAAAGTATCTGACTGTAAGTTCCCACAGACAGCGTGTTCCCAGCAAGGGGGCTGGGGTCTAAGAGCATTTGCTGGATTGTTTCCATTTGCTTTGTTTAGGATTTGTTTTTACCTTCAATGCCTATTCGAATATTTTTCAGCCCACGCTCTTTTAACACGGCCTTTGCAACGTCACGGTTTTCAATATACTTGAAGAATCTGTACAGCTTGGAACTGTAAAGGACTTGAGAAACAAAATGGATAATTCATCATCTGATGAGAAACAAAACGGATAATTCAATGGAAA